CGCCAACAGAAGGTAGTGAGTAGGGCTTCTTCAGCAGAGGTTGCTTGAGACGCTTGAACAAATGGGAGCATTTTGCGAGGTGCAAGGGAATGGTGACGAGCCGCAAACCTAGACATCCACAACCGACCATACTGGGGTGTCATGTAAATGGGTGGTCACAGGATACATTTCACCGTGTGGAGTGGTGGCTTGGCCCTCTCTTGGTAGAATATCGGTTCAAAACTTGCTCCTGAAAAAGATATTCTGCTTCAGTTTTAGATGTGCTAAAAGAATGTGAAATAAATGCTCGTACTTTTTCCAAAACCATCCCTTGTTGTGATTTATTTTTAATCTGGTCGACAGGCATCAACAGGATCGGACCAGGCAGGAGAAAGCGCTAAAAGAACGCCTGAAAAACCGAAAACATCTGGACGGTCCAGATCCGGAATTACCCGAGGAATCTACCCCATCGAAAGAAGGCGCGGACCCGACCGGTGAAGAAAATGAACGCAAAAAGAAAAAAAAAAGTTCCAAAAAAGTTGCTAAAGTGAAGTAAGTGATTCCTTTCAGATAAATATCAACTGTACTTCGTTCTAAGTTATTTAAATGAACTGTTAAGATCAGGAGCCGGAAGGTACCAAACGGTCCTCGTTGGTCAGTGGTTCCTTTACTCGACTCATTCAACAAACAAAGAAAAGACTTAGTCTTCAATGTGAGGAAGAAAGACGAGAACGAAGAATAAATTCCATTATTGTAGTCAGTTGATTTCGTTCAGCCCTGTGGACCGGATATGCATATGCGTCATTTCTTTCTCTCGTCAACCTATTCACGTGATCTGTTTGAACGACAATCTTTGCTTCTCTCACCCCTAATTAGTGGACCACAAGGTTGGTACAACCAGGCATTTATAGTTGTCACTTGACTCTAGTAATCTTGATAGAACCAGCTCATTGAATCTCAACGGCTGACACTGGGCCTAAGAAAGCTTTCACTTTGAATGGATCGTTAAAATAAGACACTGACGTGATCAACAGGCGAATAAAATGCTTGTGACCTAATTAGCCCATAAAACTTAGATAACACTTTCTAGGAATCACATTGCGAGTACAGTATGGTTAAAGACACTTCGCCCTTTCTCGCCCCAACACGTAAACCGGAATTTCACTATTGGTGAAAATAAGGAATCGCGAATGAATAAATAATGAAGTCCTTAGATTTTTATATGCCCAAGTTGATTGATAGTTTTGCAGAAGTTAGACAGTTAAGAAAACTTAAACTAAGATTCCTGAAGATTTATGTTGTGTTGTATTGTATTTGTAATTTATGTAAGCATATGTGCTTACATTTCAGTTAAACTGACTTGCCACACCAGGATACATTGATGTAAGTAGCCACACCGCCTCCAGTTTTTTTCCTACTTCGCTGTCTGTCCTGCCGGTAGCAGGCAAACCCTTCTATTCGTACGAGAACGTCTTTGATGTTTTGGTTTAGCCATGTTTCTTGCACACAAACAACACATGTGTTGGAATCAATGCGTGTGTTCAGAATAGAGGTTAAATCCGAGATATTTGCGAATAGTGAGC